TAAATATTAATTTTTTTATTTAATTTTTTTTAAGATTTGATGATAGCCATTTTATAGATACGTTTTAAAGAAAAATCTTGATACCAAAAACTCTTATTTTAATTCAATAGTTACGTTTATACAGCATTTTGAAGTTAATTAAATTTAGATTTTTTTTATAATTTTCTTATGGTTTGACCATATTACGTAAATGACGGAAGTAAACGGGATACGGAGATTGCCACGAACTGATGATGCCCCGACATTCATTTACTCCGACACTGTAAAAAAATCCTCCGAATACATTTACTCCGACAACAATTACTACGAATACCTGGTTACAAAAATTTGGATTTTACTACGACGATGAATACTTCGAATAGGACTATTAATTGATTGCTCCAATAAAGTTAGCTCCGAATATCGATTATTCGCGAAATCGATTAAAAAATTATCAAATTTCGGAGTAGATAAATATCGTAGCAATATAATAACTGATGGAAAAATATATCCCTTATCACTAATTAATAAATATTAATTAATATAATAAAATAGCGTTATAATTGATTACTGTCTATTAACGAATAATTATTACAATAAAGATCCCCGAAATGTATCCGACTTTTGATAAAATAGGTACATAAAGGTAAAAGAAAGGGGGCTTTGAACTAAAACAACCTATTACATAACTGGTGTGAGCCCTTAAATTTTTTTTTTTGGAGGGGAAAGAAGAGCGATTCCTATTTTCAGACGTAAAATCTTTTTTACTTCTCCTTATTAATGCTTATTATAACATTATAAGCACATAAATATTATAACATTTAATTAGTTTAGTTAAAAAATATAGGGGTACGTTTCATTGATGATAGGATTCGTCATTAAACAGATGTGTTTATAAAGATATTCGATATCCCATTCTCTAAAACTGTCATTACAATTAGTCTCATATGAAATCAAACAAAAATATGATTTAATACGTATCATTTCAATGTTCAAAGGTGGGCAACGAAATTAATTCAGTCCAGCTTGGATTTTATCGCAATTTGAGAGACTTGAGGGGGCTTTGTCTCCTAAAATTCTGCCATAGAATATACCGAAAATGAATTAATTTGTATATCTTGTTGTATAGAAATATTTTTTAGATTAGGTAAAAAATTATATAATTAGAGTTCCCAAATATTTTGTTGCAATACTCCTACGCTCTAGTCATATTAAGTAAACACAAGGCAGTTATAAGTTAACAGTGGACAATAGTTTATGATTAATCATAAACTTAATTAAATCTTCTATTAAGATAATTAGTTTTAAACTTAACTAACTCGATTAAAAATATGCAGTCAACTCATTAAATAATGGTTGAGTTTTTTTTCATTTACATTATGATTATTTGAAGTTTTGTCAAATATACGTATAGAGTTAATTTATAATCAAACAATTATTCATTTTTTCTCATTAAATGGAAATCAAATATAATAATGTAATATTGAAACTGTACAACTTTTTTTATAGGACATATATATAAAATTACATTTTTACAAAACATAATACATTACGTTACGTAATTTTATTTTGAAAATTAATTTTTATTTTTTAGGAATATGCTTTCATATTCTAAAAAGTACATATAAAATGAATTCAAATTTTTAAAAAAACTTCATTTTGTATTTATAAAACAATACATTTGTATTTGCAGGATACACGTTAAGCTAACGAGATGAAAACATTGGCAAAATAATCATATTTTCGCAGTGTCGGCCTGGCTCAGAAGGCCCTCATTTAATTTAAGATTTTTTTTCTCGCTGAACCAATGAGAAAATTGTCCAACAAATTTAATTATTATTAAAAAAAGGAAAGGCTATTCAGATATTTTTTTTAAGGAAATATCAAACTGATTTCAATAAATGTATATTAGATTTTAAAGAAAAAGAACTTTAAATAAATAATTTTTTACTCCTTAATATTTTTAACTTTTCTTTGAGCACCACTGGAGATTATAATGGTTTTACTTATAATTTAACATTGATTATAAAACTCATGTCACAAAATTAAAATTGTTTAACGATAAGTTAATATATTTTTACTTTTAGATGACACACAGAATTTTTAAATAAGAAAAAATTAATGCTACTTATATATAACCAAAACTTACTAATTCTTAGCATAACTAATATTAGAACTTGTAGCAAAACTTACACAGTTTAATATTATTTTAATATAAGTTAAAAATAATTTTAGTAATTAATTTTCAATTAAAATTGCTGAGAGAAAAATTAATCATAATCTACTGGTCAACACAAACCTATTGGAAGAAACTTCCAAAAAGTAATAAGACTAAAAAAAATTTGTTCAACAAATACTGCATTGAAGTTGGATAATTGATTTTTCAAACAAAATACACGAGTTCATTGAAGACTGAACACACAAAAAAATGAATTTTTGATTAAATTTAATTAAAAGAATCTTTTTAAATAAACAAAACAATTTAAGTTAATAAGAGACAAAAATTCGAATGATCAAAATATCTATTCTAGATAGCACGCGGAGAGTGGAATGTAGACAATACAATATCTGTCAACCTCTTCGTCAAAGTAGCATTTATGATACAAATAACATACATAAACATATACATAAAATATACAAAAATGAGGGAACATTTTTTATACGTTAAAAAGTTATGTATAATAGGAATACACTATAATGCAATTTAAGCATTTTTCAGATTAGTATTGATTGATATCTGACAGTGACTAAAATCACTGTTATAAAACGTTATTAAATGCGTCTTTGAAGCATGTTAAAAAAAAATTAAACACATCAACCAAAGATGGTTATTGACTTTCTTAGTTGATTACTATAGTTTAAATACATGTATTTAATCTATGTGATTATTTACAGTGGACATTGGAACGTTTTTTTTATTATAAATACTTCAAACAAGCCTTAATTTGAAAAATATTAGAATGACTAAAGTATTTCTTTACTGTACAAAATATTATAAAATCAGTAATTTTTCTGAAAATTGAAAGAGTTTTTGCTTAATTATATTAGGATAATAATAGTTTTTAACAATACACATTGAAACATTCATATTTTAGCTTCGATGCTAAGATAAGAAGATCTTAGTTTTACTATGTGTTTTTTTTTGTTTTGTGCCTGTTACCACTTTTTCTCAGCTCTTGCCAATCCGATTTCTTTCAACGATACGCCAAAAGATCACAAATCATATCTAGTCGAAGACATTACCCTTAAAAATTGAAAAAATTTCCTTCGTTCACCGTAAATGGGGGAAATGTCAAAAAAAAAATTCAAATTATAAATCGTTAATTTTCGACATTTTTTCAATATTTTTTACATAAAACTGCCATAACTTTTGCATATAGAAAGTAGAACTTTTTCAGCTTAACTTTTGAAATTGTTACGGAAAGTCTGACACTTTTATATAATCTTAAATTAAAGCTAATGTAATGTACTTTATTATGGTAAAAAAAGATTTCCGACTTTATTTTGTCTTCATTTAATAGTTTATTTTAGGTTTATAATAATATTCTTAGTTTTAATATTATTGTAACTATAAATTTTATATTTGTCTAATATATTCCTTGTATTCCTAAATTCTAATTTTGTATATTTGATTCGTGTATATTATAAATTGTATAATAATTGACCTGTATCCCTTGAAATTGTTACGGAAAGTCTGACACTTTTATATATATCTTAAATTAAAGCTAATGTAATGTATTTTATTATGGTAAAAAAAAATGTCGACTTTATTTTGTCTTCATAGTGAAAACAGATATAAAAGTAAATAAAAAAATACGATTTTTGTAAAAAAATTCTTTTTTATATTTTTAACTTTATAATGCTATAACATATTGAAAAGTGTATGGATCAACACAATTTTTTATGAAAAATAATATTTTTTTATAATCCCTTTTTTCATTCGACATGCTTTATCTTAATCAGAATATTAATAAGGAACTAGCAGATCATATAGCTTTTGGAATAATACACCAATTTTTTTAAATTAAACACTACCTAAAGATTTGCATCGAGCTTTTTTTATGATAGTGATTTTAATTACTGTCAGATATCATTATACTTGATCCAACTATGCCACGTCACTACTGTGCCGCGACCTCCCTGTAGTGGTTTTTTTTTTTTAACGAATGTCTATTGTTCAATTTATAATTAGATCTTTGTAATTCAAATAATGATTATTACTCATGCTGAATATTAATTTATGACGATAGACAAATAAGTAGATATTATTCGTTCTTCTTTTATATGGAGAGATAAATAAAAAACAGAAATGTCATAATTATATTTTAATTTATTATTATTTTTTTAATTTATTTGAAAACACTTTATTTGTTTAATTTCAGAAAATAAAATTATTTTTACTATAAAAAACACTTGGTACAAAAATCATTACACTTAGTATTTGATAAAATATTTTAAAGAAAAATATAAAAAAATTTACTAAATTGACTATTACAATGGAGATTAAGATTTTCAATTTTTTTTCTGTACTTATGTTCATCATTCTACTGAAAGCAGAAAACTCAAAAGTAAGTAGAAATGACGCATGTATTTTAATTTGACCTGACTAATAAATATTTCTTATACATTATTAAAGTGATTTTAAACTTAATAAAAATTGATTTTTATATTGATAAAAAATTATTAAAAAAAAGATGATGGCCAAATTGTGTCCAAACCTATTTGTTCGGTTTTACATTTTTAGATTGTATCCAAGTAAGTGATGTAATATAGAAACTTCACACTTTGATATTTTTTAAGGTTTATCAGTTCAATTTAATTTTTTTTTTATTAAAATTCAGACATGTGTTACAATGCATATAATTTTCTAGTATTTTAAGTTTCTTTTATGTTTTGCAAATAATCTTTGAAACATATTTGACTGTCAATAATTATAAATAACATATATAATAATTACGATTATGCATCCATTTAAGTTTTATTATTTTCTTATTAAATTAATTTTTGTAACATGATTAAAGGGTTTAGGTGTGTTTAAATCCATTAAATCAGCGGTAAGTTTTTTTATATTATAATTAAATTTGTATTCAACCATTATTTTAAAAAATTAATAGTTTGCTCATTTATCATTTTTGAGAAAATAGTGTTCATATATTTAAATTATATTTTTTTGGAGACTGTATAAATATAAACTTTGATATTAAATTTACAGTCAATTTCATATTAAAAATCATTAATTATAAAATAAATAGTATGACAATAAACAAACAATTTGATTATATTTAGATAAGCGGAAATGAACCTCTTAAAGAAGTGATATTCCATAAGAAATTTGAATCTAACATAGATCACGTATCTGTTTTTAAAGACGTAACGCTAAACAATCATAACTTCTATAATCCAATGGACACAGCGTTGCGTAAGAAAAAATGCGAGAAATTAGGTTTAAAATTTCAAAAATCAACTAAAGAATATCCGAAAAATATTCAAAAAATATTAACTAAACCCAGGAACATTTTAGATACAACAACTGTAGATCCATATAACGTTGGAAATGTTACTTACGAACTTCTATCTCAGTTACTTTGTAATACAGATCAGTACCATGAAACTATAAGAGATGTGATACATAAGGTACTATAATATATAAGCAGCCATAAATATCTATTATATCAGTACCTCAGTGNTAGCTATAAATATCTATTATATCAGTACCTTAGTAGCAATAACTCGTATCTACAAATTTGTAATTTTTAGGGAGGGGCACAAATCTGATATTAAGTGTATACACAATTTATTTATTTATAGAAGTTTTTATTCATAATACATTTTTTTATTACCATTAAAATATTATTTGAAGTACACAAAATCATAAAATACAGAATGAAATTAAAAAAAAAATTGCTTATAATGATCACGTTATATCATAAAATAATTATAATAAATAAATTGCATTTTAATATCAAAAAGTCAATGTCACAGAAAATGTAGTTTCGAAGTTTTGTCACTAAGCTAACGATATTCATTTATTATTTTTCAAGCAATAATTTATGGGTACGTAAATATTTTTTTAGAATTCCTTGCAGAGTAAACCGTTAAGGGATCTTTTTGATGGAGATCAAGATAAATTAAATAAGTACCTAGAAACTAGACGTATAAATGAAAATAGTATGTAAAATATATTCAAATCGTGTAACAAATATTTTATTATCAATTTAATTATTGTTTAGAGAGATTAGTGCTCATCTTAAACTATTTAAATTGATAATGGCATTAAAACATCATCAAAACTATATTTAAAGGGGATATCTTGATTACGTGTAAAATTACGTTTTTCTGATGTCTCAAATGCATTCGCAATAAGGTATTATATGAGTGCGTCCCAAGATTTCATTGTGATTTTTTCATATAATTTTATTAGACTTTTTTCAAATTTTGTTTTTACTCACATTATTCACAGCATTCAAAATATCAATTGATTATTACTTGTTATATTTTATCACTTATTAATTTTGTTATGATATTTGTTGATTTGCATCATATTTATCTATCAATTATTACTGTGGGCGCAATCGGGCCATGAGAAAGGTAAAAATAAAACATTAGACGTAGTCAACAAATATTTTCCTATTAAAACATGATTTTTGAAAAAAAAATTTCTAAATTAAAAAAAAAAAAAAACCTTATGATAACGAATAGATAATATTATTTGGTATTTATTATCATATTAAACGATAATATTATATTAACATAATTATGTCACAAAGTAATATTATATTTTCATAATTAATGAATTTGAATGAAATAATTACATTAAAATTAGACTAATATTACTGAAATATTCTTCTTTTTCATCATTGTAATAGTTTATTTTTTATTAAAATAACCAATAAGTTCAACGCATAATTTAAACAGTTTTTTAAATGTTGTAACTCAAGGATAAAATAATTTTAATTACCCTAAAAATTACAGGAAAATCATATTTTAGTTTATTGCATAAACTAAAGCTTTTTACATAAAAATTGATATTTACTCTTGTAAAATTTCATGTTCAAAATAATGGTTTCCTCTGGCCATAATATTAGTTTTCCAAAAAAACTATATTTGACATAAGTTTAAATTTGTATTTTTTAGATAGAATAGGTACAGATGTAGAACTGTTTATCGCAGCGTACGCTTTAGATGTTTGCATTTATGTCTATAGAGATGGACCGATAGCAATGAATAAATGGACATTATATCATAAAAATTGGCCTAATCTTGAAAATCTTGATATGAAGAATGAAAAGTGTTTGTATATTGCTGAACCATTTCTAGGATGTGCTTATTATGCTGTAGAAGATGTTGCTTAATAAAAATTTTTTATTGTAAATGAAAATGCTTGGAATAGTAATTATAGATAATTACAAATAATAATAATTACAGCTAATTTACCTATGTATACTTGAATAATTAAAAATAAATTTGAATTTAATTTAGTATTATATTTTACCAAATCTCCAACAAAATGTTGTCTGTATTTATTTAAATATTTACCTTGTTTAATTGAAATGTCTGCATATCATAATATAGTATAAAAAGTACAGCGTGCGGCACAAAGAGCGAACGTTTTTAGGACAGGTAGTACTCGGCCATTAGAGAAGGGAAGGGTATGCGTCAGACTACATTCAGTGCCTTGACTCAAAGCATTTCAATTTCAATTGCTACTATGGAGCGGTGGACGTTAGACCAACGCGTTTTCGCGTACTATTGCTTTGCGAAGAGTAGCGGAGTCAGTGGTTTCGGTTCAGCGCGAGTTCCGAAGTCGATTCGGCGGTATTAATCGAAATGACTCTGTTCCCACGCGGAACACATACTTACGATGGGTGAACATCCTTCGGATTGATAGGTCCCTATTTGTTTGAGGAAAATGCGGTTACTGTTACAGTAACGTTACGTTAATATGGTAAACGCCTTCTTTATCAACGAGTTAGAAAGAAGACGTATTGACCGTGACCGTTTGTGGTTTCAGCTAGATGGAGCCACGGCACACACCGCCAGGGCATCCATGCCCTGTTCTCGTCCCTTATTTGCCAACCTTTCAATTTCAAGTTTAGGGGACGTTTTATGGCTTCCTCGGTCCCCGAACATGTCCATGTGTTATTTCTTTTTATGAGGTACCTCAAGTCCCGCGTCTATGGAAATAATCCTCGTACATTAAAAGAATTGAAAGATTCAGTTGGCCAGGAAATTAGTGAAATCAATAGAGATTTGTTGGAAAAGTCGAGACTAGTTTCCGCGAACGCCTTCTAAAATGCGTCGATGGAAACGGTCACCATATGCCCGATATTGTTTTCTTCAATTGAAAATCCATCCGAGTATTATCAAATGTTATGTCTTTGTGTATGTTGGTCTACCAATAAATTTTCCCTAAAGCAAAAACTAAT